ACCCTAGGTACTACAATTGATCCGTACACTTGCGGTGATTGTATTTAGGAATTAAAACAAGATTAGATCACATCCTAGATCGACATCATGTATATATGTAAAAATGTGTATATATGTAAATGTATAAGTGTGTCTATATATATATATGTATATAATTATGTATGTAGATGTATATTTGTATATATGTAGACAACAATTACGATTATTACTCGGTTTCGGTCGGAGACGATAATGATGATGGTGATGATTATAACTGAAAGTAAACACGAATTAAAGCAAATACAAGCAAAGACTTAGCACAATTCTATAAAACATCGTAGGTGTCGGGAATTACGGGTTATGTAAGGATCGTTTCTACGGATATATCTTGGCGAAATGTGCTGATTTGGCGAAATTTGTATGACGTGGCATGCCACGTCAGCATTAAAATTGACAGAACATAACGTCGTTTACGGATATGGAGGAAATTGCAACACATTTTAAGATTTTGTGTGGGAATTTGGAAATATTTGAAATCCGGTGTAGTTTTTTGTCAAATTAAAAATTGGTATAGGAAATTGGAACTTTTTCGAAAATTTGTGGGGGAATATGGGATTATCCCTAAAATTTTTCAATTAATATTTTCACCTCCTCTCAGAGCCTTGGATTGGAAATTGATTGAGAATGGTAAAAATACCTTAAACAAAAATAAAGTCTCCAGAAATGCAATTTGATTTCGAAATTAATAAGAAGGGGCCCAAATAAATACCAATTAATTAAGGGCGGCTTGGGGTATGGCCCAACCACTGAATAGACTGACTAACACTGCAAATGCTGCATTTAAATAATATATATATATGACCCAAACTTATTAAATCCCATTTAACAGCAATTACCTAATCCGAAAGCTACATTTTTTTTCCAAGATTTGAATTCTTCTAAAAGTTCGCCAATCATGTCCTCTGTCTTAACCCGACCCGGCCCGTACAAGCTTTCATGACACTCTCAAACGCAGAACCAATGGCGTTTAGAAGAGAGAATCAAACGCAGCTCTCCTGATCGTAAACGTCGTCGGTGTAGTAAGGGGAGAGCTTACCGTCGCGTTTAGGGAGGCAGTTGGAGGCGACAAGTTCTTGAAGCATAATGACGACCTTTCTCATGGAGGGTCTGTTGAGTGGGAGAGGGCTCGTGCACAGAAGCGCGATGTGGATGAATCTGCTTATCTCCTCCTTGAACCGAAGATCGAGTTCGGGATCGATCACTGCCTCGAGATCTTTCTGGTCAAGAGTGGTGCATACCCATTTCACCAAGTCTTTCTCCCCCAGCTTCTGATCGGTCGCTCCCCTTCCCGTCACCAGCTCCAATAACACCACTCCGAAGCTGTATATATCGCTCTTCTCGTTCACCCTTAGCGTGTATGCGTACTCTGCATATCATCCATATTTGTAAACAAAAAACACGAGTTGTTGATCATTCCTTGTGGACGACAATTATAGATACAACCAACATTTTGATTGATCATTCAATTAATAGTGTTTTGGGTGATAAATTACCGTTAGAAACATAAATGTTAGTAGAGTGATTGTTAATTAAGTTTTTAAGGTTTTGGCAACTAGTTTCTGTGTGCAAGGAAACAATCATCTTTTCAAGACAGCAACTTAGATTTCGGGAAGCACTTGCAAACGTAAACGCAAACGCAAACGCAAACGCAACAATCAAACGAGAGTTTGGGAGACGAAACCTGGTGCGATGTAACCGCAGGAGCCAGCGATGACAGACATGGAGCCCAACACCTTGCCGCCGTCCATAGCAGCGACCTTGGCGACCCCAAAATCGGCGATCTTGGCCCCAAAGTCTGCGTCCAGCAGTATATTATTTGATTTCACGTCACGGTGGACAATAGGGGGAACGCAATCGTGGTGCAAATAGGAGAGACCCTCGGCCGCATCCAACGCGATTCTGTAACGCGAACGCCAATCCAAACGTAGGCCTCCTTTGCCGCCATGAAGCGCGTCTCCCAAACTCCCGTTTGGCATATACTCATACACCAACAATCTGCAATCGCCGGAGCAGCAGCAACAGAGCAAACGCACGATGCTCTTGTGTCTGATCGTCCCTAGCGTTTGGACCTCTGCCGCAAACGCGTCTCTGTTCAACGAATCGTCTTCTCTGGCCCTCCCGTTTAGTTTCTTCACAGCCACGACCTCGCCGTTGCTGAGCTCCGCCTTGTACACCTTCCCGGAGGCTCCGGCTCCGATTACGTTCCGTTCGTTGAGGCAATCGGCGATCTCGAGCTCGCTGAATTGAAGCTTGTGGAAGGATCTCCACTTGGACACGGCGAATCGCGGCTTCTTATTCGCGGTTTTGAGTTTCCCGGAATTCACGATGAAGACAACGATTCCGGTTACTAGGATAAGTCCGGCGAGAAGGAAGACGGATAAGAGAATCCAGACGTGTCCGGTGTTCTTAGATCGAGCGATCTTCGGGCAAGGGCCATCGAGATCAACGCACAACCCGGGATTGCCCAGGAAGCTGTTAATGTATATTTTCTTGGCGTAGAGAGGAGGAATCTCGCCATAGAGCTGATTATTCGATAGATTCAAAAGGTCGAGCTTTAGATTCTGCAGTTCCAGCGGGATTTTCCCCGAAAATCGATTGATAGAGAGATCGAGGTAGTTGAGAACAGGCAGGCTGCCGATTTCACTAGGGATTTCACCGGAGAGATGATTATCGGCAAAATTGAGCTCGTTGAGTTTCTTCCAATCCCGGATTCCTTGGGGAATCTCGCCGGAAAGTTGGTTTTTGCTGAGATCGAGCATGCTCAATTCCCTCAGGTTCACTAAACTTCCCGGAATTTCACCAGAGAACTCATTCTCCGATCCGGAAATCTCGATCAGTCGGTTCAGCGATCCCATTTCACCGGGTATGGAACCAGAAAAATGGTTCTTCGAGATCCGCAGGATAGACAGGTTCTTCGCACCGGAGATCGTCTCGGGAATTCTACCGGTGAACGAATTCTCGACGAGTTCGAGGAGATACAAGCGAGGCAATCCCCAGAATTCATCGGGGATATCACCCGAAAACTTGTTGTTCCTCAGTCGGACCCGAGTCAAGTTCTGACATTTCCCCAGATTTTCTGGGATTTTCCCGGAAAACGAATTATATATAAGAATAAGATCCTCTAGCATCCCCTTAACGCACAAGGTCGTCGGTATCTCGCCGGAGAACTGATTATATGAAAGGTCTACGTACTTCAACGGCGAGTTCACGCCGAGCTGCCTCGGTAGTTCTCCGCTGAGTCTGTTGTTGAACAGCTTGAGTTCGACCAACCTTTCTGAGCGAGTTATGCTCTCCGGCAAAGGCCCTTCTAATCTGTTCTCGTACAGATTGAGCGACTCGAGCTCCAACCGAGTCAAGCCGTCGGGAATCGTTCCGCTCAGCAGGTTTGTCGACGCGTCGAATCTCCTCAGAGTCGTCAAGTTATCCATCCCCTCCGGCAACTCTCCGGAGAACGAGTTGTTGAAGAGTTCGATCTGCTTAACACTCTTCAGCTGATTGATCCAACTCGGGATTGACCCGGTGAGTTGGTTCGTGGACAAATCCAAGTTAACCAATCGAGTCAGCCCGGACAGAGCCGGAGGGATCGGACCGACGAGAGCGCAGCCGCTGAGCCAGAGGTCCTCGAGCTTGGTGAGGTTCCCGAGTTGACGCGGGATCACGCCCGGAGAAAACAAGTTGTAAGCGAGTCTGAGCTCTCTCAGCGTGGACACGTTACCGAGCGAGGAGGGAATGGTTCCGGTTAGAAAATTTCCGACGAGGTTCAACGACTCGAGCCGCTGAAACTCCCCGAAGCTCGAAGGAATATCACCGGAGAAGTTATTCCCGTTGAGGTCGAGATAACGGAGGTTCGGCAGCTCGGAGGAGAGGGAGGCCGGGATGGGTCCGACGAGGAGATTCTGCGACAAATCGAGGTGTGTCAGATTCCGACAAGCTGCAAAGTCGCCGGCGGAGAGAGAGCCGTTGATGTTGTTATCATAGAGAGAGAGAAAGGAGAGAGAAGGAAGGCGACAGAGGACGGAGGGGAAAGGGCCGGCGAGGGTGAAGCCGGAGAGGTCGACGGAGGCGACGGAGGATCCATTGCAGGTGACACCGGACCACCGGCACGGAGTTTCATCGGCGGTGGACCATGAAGAAAGGGACTGGGTCGGGTCGGATAGGCCCAGCATGGCTTGCCGGAGAACGGAGCCATCGAGGTTCAGTGAGAGGGTCATGTACGGAGGGGAGAGGGAAAGAAGGAGAATGAGACAAAAAAGCATTTTTTTATTTTATTTTTAAAAAACTTTATTTATTCGGGGGGGGGGGGGAGGGGGGG